AAAAAAAAAAAAAAAAAAAAATTATTTCTCACGAAAAGGTGAATAATTACGAATATAGACAATATATTTGATTTATATTACGCTGAAACAGATCTGTTGCGCGTAAGAAAACATTTTATTATCACTCACATCTACTAAAATTTCCAAGGTTTATTTTAAATTATGCTTTTTTCATCATTTGGCTTTTTATTAAACCACACAACACACATTACCACCAACTTTCCGTTTCCTTGTTGCCGGTAGTTATCAAGAGTCTAGTTTCGGGTTTTTATTTTATTTTAACAAATATAAACTTTATAGCATTTTTTACTTTTTAAGGCAATATGTAAAACGTTCCAATTTTGGTTCTTTTATTGCTTTTGTCGATATTCTTTCAAGACATCTTCTACAATATTACGTCTAGATTCTTACAGCAAATTTTACTTCAAAGAAGTTAAAAGCCTCTAGAAAAATTCTTCCATATACAGGGTTTTCCAATAAGAGTAATATGATTTATCATGTCGTATGTCATGATTAGCTCATTCAATATCGACTTCTAAAGCTAGAAGGCTTTGGATTATTGCTAAAAACCAATGATATCTTCACAAGAAGTAGTCTAACGGTTTTAAATCACAAAAACTTGGGGGCCATTCAATGTCGAAATTTCTTGAAATAATCGAATCTCCAAACTCCACACATAACCTCAGTCCCTATTCTTGAGAACGACTGTGGTTCGACAAGCTGCGGTCTTCAGAAACACTTATCTGAAGGAAGCAATATTTGTCTTATTGGCGAGCACAGGTGGACGATTATTACGACAATAAAATAGCAAAACCGCATGAAAAGTTAAAATTGGAGAACGAATTTTTAATAAAATTTTAATAATATAATTGAATAATTTGTAAAACTATTTCTTGTGTATATCTTCCCATGATCAAATTGTAAACATTACATAAACATAATAAAAATGCCCGAAACGACACTTAGAAATTATATCATCCCTATTGGAAAGCTTTATATATTTAGAGCCTTACACGTGATAAAAACCCAAGACTCCACGATTAATTACCAATTACTTCTATTTGGCGACCGATTCTGGGCGGTATGACTCTTTTAATCAACAAGCTGTGAGATGGCTGGAGTTCGGAAAAAAAAGCGTGAAGATTGAAAATTAACCAATACGCTTTTGAAACTGTGAAAGCTTCACTTAGTTTAAGTTTAGCTTCGGAGTCAGTAGCAATAACTCAACAAATCGGAATATCGAAGAGATCATACGAATCATGAAACTGTTGACATCAAAACTGTGCAATAGGCAACGTCAACCGGCCCTGTATAAAATAATCATTCGACCGGTGCAGAATAACGCTACGAAACCAAACTGCAAGTTTTCAAAAGAGAGAGCGAGCGACTAAGATGGCTGTGTCAAGTAACGAGAGTGGATAACAGTAGGGGACACAACATTCGCCTTTAAAGCAAAGGGAAGACCGCGATGGAGATGGATTGACGAAGACATGGTGAAGATTGACATAAAAGGTTGGAAAGAAAACGCAAAGCTCACAATGAACAATAGCGTCAAAAGATGACGATGATGAAGAGTAGTACTACTGAAGAATAAAACAAAATCATTTCTTCACCTTTTCAAATTTTATTATATATTTATTAGATTATTGAGTTTTATGAATCGTCAGCTGGTTACATGTAGAATAAGGAATTATTTATAATTTTTAATTCATATAAGAACTTCAGTTAATACATAATGCACTTGTGTGTATGTATATGTGCTTGCCGACAACTATCTCTTACATATATATATTTATGAATGAACTTAAACTCTTCAAAAGCTTACAAAACTTACGCTCTAATACAACTGAAACGCAAATAATTTGCTGTGAAAAATAAAATCGTTGGTTTGTTCGTTTTTGATCTTGATTGCCATCAATATTACACTTGTGTGTTAAAAAAAGCATTCTTTAAACTAACCAATTGATATGTGTGCAATATGTTTGGTTGTTGCTGTGCTGTACAGTTACAAGCGCTAACGATAAAATGCTTAAACAATTATTTAACTTAATTCAACAGTTATAAATTGAATACAATATAAAATAAATTTTCACTTGACATAAATTTATTTACATGCAACATTTTTTTGTCGAACTTGAAATCGTAGTGTGGCGACTTAAGCTTTTTTGATTAAGCAGTCTGAGAATACTCGAGTAGTATAACAATGAGTCTCCATATAAAAATAGTTTTTCTGGCGTTCGATGAAAATTGAATTGCCACCAACCTAACCCTTGATTTCTTGTGTTCTTTCAGCTTATATGTAATTTTGAAACGTTTTAACTAGTTCATACTCATTTCGAATTGTACAATTACAGCTTTAATTAATTATAATTACATCTAGCACTTAATTTTGTTAACACTTACATACATATATTTTAATTTAAAAAAATGTACTACCATAGAGTACCTAACGGTACATATGATGCTTATTTACAACATTTTGATACTTTTTTGTTCAAAATTTTAAAATCGAATTTCCTTAGCAAGCGTTTAATAACTAGCTAACACATATGTTAATCAAACACCTACAATTATCAATTTTCCGAAATGTAAAGGATGATTGCATCACCTTGAGATTCAACGCCAATAACTTTTACAACCGACCACTTCAGCTTGCTTTGTTCAGCAGTTCATGTAGTTTGACGACTCGGTGGCCGCTACCATCATTGTGCCGTTCTCTTTCACCGGCTCAACTTCCTTGATCTGCTCCAGGTTTGCGCCGACATTCTGGTAAACCTCAGCCTGCACTTCAATGCTGCCTACCTGGGGCACCGCAACTTGCTTCGGTTTAAATGAGGTGCAAGGTGGCGAAGCCTTCGTCAGCTTGCCGTAGATGATGTTTGCGCGTTCGTTAATTTTAATGGGTTGTAAGGTGACGCCATTTTGGTATTGATGATTGCTACCGTTGTTGCTGCAAGTGGTAGTTGCGTCATTCTCTTTGGCCTCCATAATTGTGTTCAGGTAGTTGTTGGGCTGAGATGTCGATAAGTTCTGACTGGTGTAGACGGGGATGTTGGAGGGAAACATCTGGTAGTGTTCGCCACCGGTGGGACTTGTGGGTGTGTTTAGCCGTTGGAGTGATGATATCGGTGAGGGGAAAACGAGCTGATGACGCTCTTCGCCGGGCGTTGAATTTGGTGTGAGCACGGGGCGTGGTGGTGGCGGTATAAGATAGTTATCCATAAGCGCGGCCGGTGATGCCAGACGACATCCGAAACGTCGCTCTTCGTGGTCGGAGTGTGTGCCAGAGTCACCCATTGATGTGCCACTGCAGTTACTGCCAGTGCTGAGGCGCGCTGAAGACGATGATGAAGATACACTCTGCAAGCTTAACGAGCTGATGGGGCGTTGTGAAGATTTAAAACTTGAGCTGGTTGTGATGGAAGATTTCGTTTCGTCAAGCACGCTGTCAGTACAGGAAGCCTTCTCCGGCAAATTCGTTGTGGATTTGTGCCTTGAGAAGAGTTTCTTGATTTTCTCAAAAGGTGTCTCGCGTTTCAGCTGAGATCTTAGATTTTCCTGTATGCGATCGTATTCCTTACGCAACTGATCGATTTGCTCTTGTTTCTCCCGGAAACTTTGTTGCACATCGTTGCGGTGTTTCCATTTTTCGACCAACAACTCCACATCGCGTATGCTGAGGACATTGTTCTTGAAGTCGTGCATGATTTCGGCCAATTCATCATCGGCATTGGAACGTGTAGTGACGCTGGACGCGTCTGAGGCGGTACGTTTCAATGTGCCATAAGTGGGGTTTTGTCCAGCGCGAGAGGAAGAACTTAGTGAACGACTCAAGCTGAGACGATTCGGTGGCAGCAATTCGTCTTCGACTGGTCGGTTCGAAGGCTGAAAGAGGTAATTGCCATCATCAGTATCTGCGTTGGTTGCGACTGTTGGAGTTTGTGTACTAGCCGGTTTGGGTGGTACTGGTATATTTGCTGGCTGGAGTACATAATCGTTACTGGCAGTTGTGCCGGTGCAGCTCTCCAGTAACTGTGAACACTCATGACTGAATTTATCCGTTTGGTAGGGCGAATCCGTGACATCAACAGATTTATTCTGCTCCTTTGATTGGTAATATGGTGGTTCACTTATGCGTAGTTCGTTGGTAGTTACTTCAGGAGTAGTAACAACCTTCTCAAAATTCTTGCAAACGTCAGCGGAGGAGCCTTGCAAATTCTCATCCTCTGCTTCCACACTTATGTAATTTAGGTTCGATACGGCTAATGTCTCTGTCTTTAGTTTGGCGTCAGGTGTATTTTCACGTTCAGAACCACTTGACATTTCCATATACTCCCCAGGTTGCATTTCCTGTGGTTCTTGTGTTGCGGGTTTTTGTGGTTTCGGTTGTTTCATTTTTGGGGACGTCGGTGTCGACTTTACAGCTTCAATAACGATCTTGTTGTTAACCTGATTGTTGAGGTTGTGATTGCTGCCAGTCATTTTACCATTTACCGCTGCTTGATTATTATTGGTTTGTCCACTGGGACCACTTATACCTTTGAAGTAGTGATACATTGTGGTGAGTTCATGAAACTCGGAGAAACTAACAATGTTCGTCGCTAGCTTGTGATGCCCCTCTTGATCGGCCAGTTCGGCGGGCGTTTTGCCGATACAATTACGTATTCCACATGCGGTATCACCACCTGGACACTCCATCAGCTGAATGCACAGACGGTTGAGACCCCAACGTGCTGCAAAATGCAAAAGTGTGGGATATTCCTCGGGGCTTGATTCACGTATGGTCAGGAAGTGATGTTGTTTCTCATAGGGACCGTTCAGTAAGTGAAAATTGGGTGGCATATTCTTTTGGAAGCACTGCAGCAAATGTAAGTCGAGCGCATCTCGTTCAGCTGGTCCAATACCTAGTGAGTGGCACATGAATTCGATGGGAGAGTCCTCGGTGCGTAATAACTGCTCGAGCTCGCGCATGCGACTTTCACATTTGATAGGTCGAGCGCCGAGACTCTTCTCGTTCTTTTCAATGCGTATCTCAACCATAGTTGATATTTCCATACAGGACTCTTTAAGGTAAAGAAAACAAAGTGTGTTAATTATTGCAAAACAAGTGTTTATACTTTCAGAATTACAAAGTTCTTTAGTCTTTCTTCTCTTTTGTTCTTTAATTTTATTTACCTGGTATCGAGAACTGCACTGTGAAGGGATTGCGGGATTTGAAATTTCTGATTTCAATTAGCTCCCCAGATTTCTCCACCATTATCTTGATAGTGTCATCTTTTTCTAGTGGTTCGGCTAAAATTGCCACGACTTTATTCTGTCCGATCTTCACTTTCTTCGGTAGTATTGTGAAACCTTCTGAGCAGCTCGAGAAACTACGCGAAATGCTGCTGTGATCGTGAAACGGTGGTCGTTGACATAGTGCGCGACCCAAAATGTCCGTAGCTATGCCGAGTATATTGCTGATCTGCGCTTGGTCATTGTCGCGTATGGAGCACCGACGCCATTTGTAGTAGCTTGGCAGTGCTGGAAGAAAGGCAAGCATACACATAAGTAAAGCTTTGTTTAGAGAATGTGTTTTAGAAACTGAACTATTATAATCTCACTTGACTGAGAACTTAAAGCAAATTATACAAATTACTAGATTAAACAAGTAAGGAAGGGCTAAGTTCGGGTGTCACCGAACATTTTATACTCTCGCGTGATAAAGTGATAATCGAGATTTCAGGCGTGGTTGTGAACCGATTTCA